TTGTGTATATCGAAATCGATACGTATTATACAAAAATCTCTCTGATGAACAACAATATTATTCGATCCTCATCGTGAGTTTTATCTCGTAGTCTTTTAAATTAATCACTAAAATTGCGATCGCGATTGAAAATAGCGATCGACATAGCGATAGTTATAGAATTATTGAGTAAAAGAAATAAAAATTGATGTATGATGTAATATATCATGAGAGATGGAGTACATTTCAAATAATAATAATTGCGATGTGACAGGAACTAGTATACAAGACCGATTCTAAGTTTTCTGCCGCTTCGAACAATTTTCTGCCATTTTTATCTGCCTCCATTCCCTCCATTTTTACATTTCATAACAATATTTTTTTGTAGATTTATATTAATATCGATACATTGCACTGATTTTTGATAAAGACTTATCAGAACACATGGTCAAAATGTTGGAAGTTTGTCATTTTGTAGAATTTTCCGGAATCGAAAGAAAATAGACACACATATTGACATTTCTTATGAAATCTAGAATTAATATTTTTAGCGAAAATTTTGTCGAATTCTTTTTTATTGCATAACATTTTTTTCATTTTAATTATATTTTTTATTTCAATATTTTCGATGTATTTAAATTACAATTCGAAACACAATTCGAATTACAAGTCTCTTAAAGAAAAATGTTTTTTAACTAGACAAATAACAAAATAAATTAAATTAGAAAATTATTTATTTTAATCAAATTTTTCGACAAATATTCGACAAATTTATTATTTATTTATTTTCATTTCTATAATATAATTAAAAATCTAAATAAGTCGTATTGTAAATTTCAACGCTTCAAAATTTTCATCAATAGAAATCGATATCTAAATTTCACAAGAAATATGTGTCTGCTTTTTCAAATTTGGAATATAGATGATTGTTATATTCATTTTTACAACCAGTCCTGTTAATATATAAACGATCCGTGTAAAACGAAGGAGACTTGGACAATACAAATAAAATGGCGGTATTAAAGTAAATTGACTTATTGGCACCTCATGCAACATTATACCATCACATGTCAAATGTGATAATATAATTGTCAATCCGCCACACAATATTTAAAAGATTTTTCCTATTAAATAAATTGGATTGAGAATTCGATGGCTACATCTAATGTTAAATATGCGATATAAATAGGGGGTATTGTCGCTCGTGAAAATGAAATCTGGAGACACTCAAGAAAGAATTGAATGAATATTGTAATGAAGATAATAAGCGCGAAGTGTGATTGATGCAACATTATTTTTCTTAATTTCTCT